CCATGAGAATTTCTGTTCCTCAGTTCAGGAACAGAGAGGCATCTGTCAAGTTCCCCAGCCAGGGGGGAGAGCAGATGAAAGCTCTAGGGATCAGGTTTAACATGTGCACAGATGATCTTGGTCTCGAGCGCTCACCTCTCATCCTGCCAGCCACGAACTGCGATTTGGGCATGACAGACCCCCCGGGCTGCTGACACTTGACAACCTGCTCCTGCTCTGGAAGGACATACACCTCATCCCCTGGCCCCACCACCCCCTTCACACACAAACAATGCTGGGCTGCTCTCTGTTACCTTTCGGTGCCTCCTGCCAAATGGCCAGAGGTATCGGTGATGAAGGCTGAGCAATGTCCACAGCAACCAAAAAGTCCCTCAGCCCAGAGCCTCTGAAAAGTGGGGCACAACAGGAGAATAGATTGTTCTCTTGAGAGTCTCCAGTCGAGTGAGCTCTTGGGGGGCTCTCCCTATAATGTGGTGGCCTCATAACCAGTGTTTAAGTTCTGTTGGGGCCTCTCACCAAGGAAGTGAGGTCACTTATTCAAGATTTTATTACCTGGAATCCTCCCTTCAATCAAATCTACCCAAATCCGCTTCTATGCTGTTAACTGCTCCACCCCCCCATGTCATCCTCTTTTTTGTACACGATGAGGTGATACAGCCCTGGACACAGCTGTCTGGAAATGTAACTAGGGTCCTAACTTTCAGGAGATAGAGCTGAAATCACTCCCTTTTCTCACCAGTTCTGTTTCCTGGAAAACACCGTGCTCCTCTCAGCTGTTCCTCAGTCTTCCAACCTGCACAGTGGAGATCGGGCTAGAATGTTCTTTCTAGGAGCATCGCCATGTGCATTGAGATAATATCTATAACAGCTGTGGCTAGTGTCACATGTGTCTAAACCGCAAAGTAGAGACTGGAAAATTACAAGAAGTGGGGTGGGTCACAGCATAAAATAACTCAAAAGATGTCCGAGTTTCAGTAAGGTGAAATTGGAACTGTCACTTCCCCTCTTGGCCTCATTTTTAGGTCAGCAGCATGAAGGGGTTGAAATTAATGGAAATTCACACATTGTCACCCTTTGGAGTAAAACTGTTCAGTTGTTTCCTGTTATAATTTGAATGAGACCCAAGTGACTCAAATTGGCCTGTGCGGTGGGCAGCCTCCACATGGCACCCAGTGACCCCATCTTTGCTATACATACTGCTGTGTAAGTACTAAGTGGTTAGCAAATACCCCAATCAGTAGATTTTAGTCAAAGTGATGGAATGTCACGTGTATGCTTTAATTTCAAAAATCGCTCACTTTCCTTTTATTCCCCAATTTCCACTTCCCTCTCTCCTATCCCTGAATTGAGGAATCAAACACAGATATTTTGAGCTGTCATATAAAGAGCCACACAAAGGAGAGAATCGAGGCATTGCCCAAGTCAACACACAGAAAGGAACTCAAACTCCAAATCCAACCTGCATCCTGAACCCTGTGAGTAAAGTTGGGACCAAATCCTCTGTCACTTGAGTCTCAGTTGAGGCTGCAGCCCCAGCCTGTGAGGCACCTTGAGGCAGAGGAGTCCATTAAGCTGTGCCTGTATTTCTTACCCACAAAAATTGCGAGCTATTAAATGTATGTAATTTTAAGATGTAAGGTTTGGGGTAAATGTTGTTAGAAAGAAACAGATACCTACCTAACAGTCTAGCACACCCCAGGATATGGCCCTGACTTCCTGACTCCCCCTAACCCCCGCAGGTTTTTCTCCAGTTCTACTCATCACTTTCCAGCTTCTCTGACCCACTCACTTCTGCCCACATGTGTCTGCAGAAGTGGTGACTTCTCCCTGACATGCTGCTCCCAGATGTGTGAGGTCTGGCTCGCTCTTGTCATTCTGGTCCCCGTAACTGTCACTCCAGTGAGGCCTCTGAGACCCTCCTACCCAGGGATTCCCCAAACCTCCCTCAGAGCACAGTCTTTATTTCCAGTCTCACACTTGCTCTTTTCTTTCATATGTCTTGCTCCTGTACTTTTGGCCATCTCTGCTCCAGGCTGTGAGCTCCTGGAAACTAGGGAACTCTTGGTCATTTTGTGCCCCACACAAGGGCACCTGGCAGAGAAGGAGTGCTTGGTGCATAGTTGCTGAAGGAATATATGTGACTATCTTGGCGTCCTCCTCCCTTTTAACCAGCTGGACTGTGGAGGTGAATGCTACTAACAAGAGTTTAAAGGTGTATGTGTAGCAGGGGGGACAACATAGCCCTCTATGTGGCCCTCAGTGGGTATCAGTGATGCAAAAGCCTGTCTGCTCCTAGGTGACCAGCACTACAACTGTGGTCCCGGGCCTGCACACCCCTCAAAACCTGGTCCCTTTATTTGGGTGTCCTCAACACAGAGGCTCCTCAGAGTCACAGGGGCATAGAGGAGACCATACAGGTTCCAGGGCAGTGCAGTGAAAGTGGCCCCAGAAGCTTCCTTTTCCCCACCGTTTTGTCCATCACTGTGGTGTCTCTTTGCTCGTGAGGGATGACCTCAGCCAAAACAATGATATTCCCACATCCAAATGAGGACCACGAGGCCCCAACAAAGACTGGTCTTCTTCCTAGAACCCTGGCTCTGGGTCTGAGGCTCTGCCCGCTTGTGCTCACAAGGCCTCATTTCCCCAGCTAATCCCTCCTCTAAGGGACCTCCGTGAAGTGGAAAGCATTTTGCCAAACTCTCAGAACACAGTAGTCAGTGGTGGAGAACCAAGGTTCTCAACAGTCTTTCCAAGCATGCAGAACACTTGCAATCCACCACGGCAAGCACACAATTTGAAGAGAAAGAAAGCCCTTCTCCCCTGCAGCACTGTCTACACTGGGGAATGGGGTGTGTGCTCAGCCTTGGTCTAGAAGATCAGAATGGTGGACTGTAAGACCCCAGGCCCTGTCCCCTGGAGAACACTAGCGAGATGGCCCACGCCCAGACAGGTCTGTGGGAACCTGGAGAATCCCCCTCATTCTTTCGACCTCTGGACACACTGCCAGAGGGGTGGACGCCCCTGCTCCATGGCAGAGCTGTCTCCAACATTTTCCTGCTCTCCTCGGCACCTACATATTGTTTTCCCTTCCTTAACCACCCTCGCATCACCCCCAGCTGTGAACCCTATTTCTATTTGTACATACATGCGTCTGCATGGAGATGCGGAGAGAGTAATGGCCCAAATTGCACAGGCTTGGCAGGGGTTCACCAGGATCTTAAGGGCTCTTATTTCAAAACTAAACGTGATGGGAGGGACTGAGTACTGGCTTAGGGAGCTGGATTCCTCACTCTTATTCTGGCCTCTGGTCACATATGGTGTCCTAGACAAGTCCCTGCCTCTTTCTGGGCTTCAGTTTTCAAATTATATAAAGAGGGCTTCGATGCAGAGATGCATAGGCACGTGCACAGCCAGACAGGTCCCCAGGCTCCAGCAAGAGTAGATGGGTTGTTGGCGTGAGTGAGCTCAGGCAGGCACAGGTACACAGGCCTCCTAACATGGGCAGATGCAGGCGGACATGTAGCAGGAGTGACCAGGATACCTATGTCCTAGCACAAGCAAGAGACAGGGCGCCTGTACCCCACCTTCCTGCACCAGCATGAACACTGCAAGAAGGGCTCTCCTCAAAGGTGAGCTCTGTCTGATGCCCCCACCTGCTGTGTCTAAAAGGTCCACATTCTCTGGAGCCCTAAGGATGAAGATCATTCACAGTGAAGTGGTTCCCAGCAAGTAAATTGGGGATGGAAGTGATATTTTCTTTGTAGAGGCTCAGGCCCTGGAAACACGCTCCCTGATTTGCCATACATTTTCCCATTACAACTGAGTGGAATAAACCCAAGGAACATACCCGTAGTTGAAAGCACATGTTATTGTTGGACAATCCACAAATTGAACGTTGCTGGGTCCCTGAATCTCTTATTGGAAGAAAATCAACAAGCAGAATCATTTGCTATTTCAAAGCCTTTGTTGAGCTCTTATATGATGTGAGTGTAAGTTTATGAAAGGTTCAAACAACTGATATTTTCATGTATATCTGTTAAGCAGCTAATTTTAAAGTCTGTAACAAAAGTATGTTCTGAAGAAATTTTTCAAGAAAAATTACTTTCCAAAGTCTGAAAACAGAAAATCCCACGTGAAGTTCTGAAAGGATAAGTTTTAAAATGTAATTCATGAGTTTGTTTATTTAAGGAACTGATTATGAATTTTGTAAATAATTTTGGATATTAGAAATGTGTATCTTAAATACATTATCATTTTGTTTTCTGATATTTTATATTTAACGTATTTTACATTACTTTCTTGTACATAAAAATATAATTGAATAAAGGTGGTCATAAGCAGAATGTTTTTTCTAGTTTCCTTATTTTTTTAGAGGATTTGCTAAATGAGGGAAAACACAGTTTGATTCCCTCCCTGACAAGCTCCAAGGTATGTCAGCTGTATTCCACTGCTTCAGATAGCTAACGATTTCTTGGAATTAACTGTGGACTCCTATTCTCAAATGAGGAAAAGTCCATAGATTTTCTACTCTCATCTTCTGTTTCAGTTATTTGTGATTGTGATCAACTCTGTATATTACTATAGAGAATTTTATTCGAAGCAGAGCAGCTGTCCTCTGTGTCTAACAGGTTGAAGATCCAGTGGAGAATCCGATGGTGGAAATTGGTGACTCTTTTCTAGGGACCTGAAATGGATACTCTCATTGTGGCATAGAATAGAGGTTATTATCATTTTTGGGGGGATGACCTAAAAACCAGATGACATGGCTCCAAAGAGTGGGGCACATCTCAGGCAAGAGAGCGGACATGGCTGGATCAGAGCATCACCAGTGCCATCAGCAGAGAGGCTGGGGCACTGAGATTTTGAGTAACTTAGCATCCTGGCTGGGAGGGGCCACATGTTCTCCAGTGAGTTCGAGCATCCTACACTTCCCCCAAGGGCCTGCAGGGGAGGCACGAAGCCACTATGTCACAGGCGATGGGGCGCATGCGCAACTGCACCCGGACTTGATGGGCGGTCTTCCCTGAGGACGGAGTGGAGGCGCCATGGCGGTTGCGGGCCCGCGTGTGGGGCTGGCTGGTCTGCGGGAGGAAGACGTTCCCCGCCCGCACCCCGGCCGGTGCAAAGGGGCTGTGCCCGCTCCTCGAGGCTCCGCGTCTTCCTTTCCGGCCACCCCGCGCGGTGTATCCCCACCTTCTCAGGTAACGTTCGATGTCGCTTGTTGTCCCTCGGATCCGGTCTACGAGGGGCCGGCGGCGTGGAGGCTGTTCCCGGCGGGGCGTCTGTTCCGGACGCGGGGCGGTTGGCGGGAGGAGCTCCGCCCGAGGCGGAGCGCGGGGAGCGCGTGTCCTCGTGGGCGGCGCGGCTGGGCCCCGGACCCTCGGGCCGCGGGGAAGGAGCTGTGGCGCGGGCGACCGGGAGAGTTCAACGTCGCGGACAGACTCTGCTGCGTTTCCTCAGACGCCCCCGGAAGGTTGTAAAAATGTCTCTTTTTTTTTAGTGGCCAAGAGAAATGTTTCCGCCCCTTGTCCTCAATAGCACGGAATTATCCACTTATTCCTTTGTTCAAAGACCTTAACTAACAGACTATACACGGATGATGTGCAGGTAACGTGGATCTAGTTGAAAACGTATTGAAAGAGTAAAAAAACAGGGCTTCCCTGGTGGCGCAGTGGTTGAGAGTCCGCCTGCCGATGCAGGGGACACGGGGTCGTGCCCCAAAGAGTAAAAAAAACAGTGTAGTAAAACACACTATGTTAAGTTTTATAGTTTAAACATGTCAGAATCAGAATTTATTGTACTTTACTTTTCCGTCTTAAAGGAATAAAGTTATTTGGAGCGTATTGTCAGCTATGGATCGGCACTTGCCATCTACCTCGACAAGGATTAAATCAGGTGCTGGTGCAGCTGCTGCAGCCGCTGACCTTCAACACCCCCTGAAAGGAGTTCAGGGTGGAGAGCGGAAATGACCCGCTCTGTGCTTGGGGGAAGCTGGCAGGACAGCTCTTCAGAGAGTTAGATACTTTCAGGAGCTGATTTTATGAGCCCAGTTCTTGTATCTCCTCGTGTCTAGAGAAGCACTGAAATCCTTTATGGTGACGTCCCTAGCCGGAGCCTGCATGAGACGAGCAGAAAACTTCTGCAAAAATTAGATGTGCTCGATTGCGTGTACTCCCCCTTCACCAAAATTACACATACACTGACCTTCCCCCTGCCTCTTTGGAACAGTTTCTTGGAGCTATCTGAGATTCTGTCTCCCAGGATATAGTCTTTATTTTTCCCCCAATAAAACTTAACTCACAACTTTCATGTTGTGCTATTTTCTTTACGTCACCAATATTTATTTATTTTTTTTTTACAAATCATTCTTTTAAAAATTTATTTAATTTATTTTATTTTTGACTGCATTGGGTCTTCGTTGTTTCATGGGCTTTCTCTAGTTGTGGCGAGCAGGGGCTGCTCTTTGTCGCGGCGTGCAGCTTCTCATTGCGGTGGCTTGTCTTGTTGCAGAGCACGGACTCTAGGTGTGTGGGCTTCAGTAGTTGTGGCTCGCAGGCTCTAGGGCGCAGGCTCAGTAGTTGTGGATCACGGGCATAGTTGTTCCGCTGTATGTGGGATCTACCCGGACCCGGGCTCAAACCCGTGTCCTCTGCATTGGGGGGTGGGTTCTTAACCACTGCACCACCAGGGAAGCCCCACATTGAGCAATATTTAAGATGTAGTTCTTAGCTTTTTTCTCATTTTCAAGTCAAAATATTGCTGTGTTTGAAATTTTCTCATAATACAGTGACAGTCTTAAATATTTATACACATAAGCTCATTGAAAAATTTTCTGCAATATTCCAATGTGACTAGTATTATTAAAAATCATAATATTCATGTCAATACCAAATTTTTATAAGAATGTAATTTAAAAAATCGTGAATCACTTTTAGAAGTTCCAGGCACAGTGACGATTTTTAAAATACCAACCATTGCATACTTCATAAGACCATTTAAGATGAAATATATTAAAACTTAAAACTTCAACAGAATACTTAAAAGGTAAGACAGGGGCTGCTTTTTGTAAATTAAATACATTCATAGCAAATAAATTTTCTGCTAATAGAGAATATGAAAGTTTTTAGCTTAATGTTGTATAGCTCCATTCAAAAGGTGAAATTAGGATATCTATAATCTCCTTATTATTTATTTTAAGCCTCTTTCCCATAAGAATTGATATTTCTATCTGTAGAATCTTCGTAGCTTATTCATTTACTTTTTATTTTGGTTTATTTTCTACAACAGAAAGAGTATTCCTATGTTTTGTTAAAGTTTTTATTCTCCTAACCTAGTTCAAGGTTACTTTCTGACATTGGTTGTAAACAAGGGGAGAGGCCTTATAATAAGCATGCGATTTTTCCTATAGTCAAGATGTTTTTCTTGGATGACTTTCTTTACAATTTCCACTTTGGTCACAATATTATCCCATTGTGAAAACTGCATAAAAATTTGTAATCTATTTATACCTAGATGCTTCTTATTTCACCACAGTGTATTTGTTAATATGATTTTACATTAAATATTAATATAACATAGTTGATTTTATTCATATATGCTAACATGTTTTATATAGGTGCACACATATATGAATATTTGCTGCATGCCATTCATTTGCATAGAATGATAGTTGATTGTATCTGATCTTTCTGACTGACAGATAGATTTATGTGTGTTTAAAGTACTACTTAGAACAGACATTAAAATATCACATCGTCTCATTATACAGTATTTTAAAGGTCATATTTTAAATTGTGGGAGCAGAAATTTTGTCCATTAAGGTTAAGAAATGATCAGGTCACAATTTTGGCATCGTCATGCTCAGTGGAGGAAAGTGGCTTCTACGTCTTCGTACATGTGCCACAGTTACACCTGTATGATATCTGTGAGCATGAGCATTTTTATGTCAACATTATCTTTTCCCAATATACTCATAATTACCTGAGGTATATCATATCTAGTTTTTCCTTTTACTTCAGTACAATCAATAAAGCTTTCTTTTGCAGTGATGGCATTTTTTTCTTTTTTAACATGAAGGTACCTTGTCATCTGACATATTTGTACATGATGGGCTACTGCTCTTGTACAAAGCAAAAGTACTTTCATTTCATATTTTCATCTGTATTCCAGATCTAACCTGATTTCTTAGGAGCATTATATACTTTTTTAAACTGTATTAAACACATAAGAACAGATCACTTTTTATCTTTACCTACCTCATGAGCTAAATGGATATAGACATTATAATAACATGTAAGGTTGACAAAATTGGGAAGCATTCCAGGGTTTGAGCTTCAAGTAATTTTATGTAATCTTCTAAGAGGTAATTTATTTCTGGATTATTATATGACAACATCTACAATCACTTGCAAGTTTGTGTGCCATTTGGGCTTTCTGATATTGTCACTTTCAGCTATCCCCTAGGAACTGAGTTTGAATTTTTTTTTTTTTCTTTTTGCGGTACGCGGGCCTCTCACTGCTGTGGCCTCTCCCGTTGCGGAGCACAGGCCCCGGACGCGCATGCTCAGCGGCCATGGCTCACGGGTCCAGCCGCTCTGTGGCATGTGGGATCCTCCCAGACCGGGGCACGAACCCGTGTCCCTGCATCGGCAGGCAGACTCCCAACCACTGCGGCACAAGGGAAGCCCTGAATATTTTAAAAAACACTTCTGATTAGAAAATATCAGGATGAAACATTGAATTTTTGTGGTCAGAACTCTGTTCTCATTATTCTAATGTAATATTTGAGTTGGCACATAATTTGACTTTGTTCCATTAGTATGAAATGTAAGCATGGAAACAAAATTTTAAAAAAGCATTCTTGGAATAAATGAACCAGTCACAATGAATTATTAGTTATTTTATTTTTATTTTATAAATGGGCTGTTTGAATATGTTCAGCCATGAAGTGACATGTAGACTCACTTCTGAGTCCTGACAGACATCTCTGGTGAGTGACTTCTTAGAAAGTGACTCAGGATACAGCCATACCTGTAAAATGACAGCAGCGAAAAGAAAAAAAAGAAAAACTCCCAAATAACATAATATATAATAAATGATTATACACATGTGCATTCTTAATTTAACATAAAATATGTAAAATTGGTGTTATTGGAAATTTTCTACTATCATGGGTAATTTACTTCTCTCTGTTATAAATTCTATTTAACAAAATGAAACAGTACAGCCAGGTGACAGGGGAAATTAATAGTAATTACTGGTAGGACAATTTAAAAATAATATGTGTTAGAAAAAAATAAAAATTTGTTTAATACATTTTCATTTTAAAATTGTTTCAGATTTATAGAAAATTTGCAAGAATAGTGCAGGATTTCACAATTAGCCCAGACTCAGTTTCCTCTCTTATTACAGTTTCATGACATTAGGGTACATTTTTACAGTTAATGAACTAGTGTTGACACCTGATTATTAACTATAACCCACACTTTTTTCAAATTTTCTTAGACTTACCTTTTTCTCTTCTAGGATTGCATTCAGGATATCTCACCCTCATTCCATTTAGCTGCCATTTCTCTTTAGGACACTGTTAGTTGTTATAGTTTCTGAGATATTTCTTGTTTTTGATGACCTTGACAGTCTCGAATTGGGATTTACCTGTTGTCTCCCTCGTGATTAGCCTGGGGTTATGTGTTTCACTTCATATCAAGGGCACATGCTCTGCAGATGACTTACTACTGTTGATGTTGCCCTTGATCACCTGGCTGAGGTGGAGTTTGTCAAGTTCCTCACTGTAACATCAATCTTTTCTCCCTTCCATTCAGTGTGTACCGTCTGGAAGGATGTCACTGCGTGCAGGACACATTTAGGGAGTTGGGAAATTATGCTCCACCTTTCTGATAGTTAAACATCTGTATCTATTATTCGGGATTTTGCCTGAGCGATTCCTACACTCCCATATTTATGTATCTGTTTTTTCCAGAAAAAATAGCCAGTAAGTTTGTGAAATGATGCTCCATCTCAGAAGGATCAGAGAGATGCTGGGTCCAAACATCTGTGCCTTGAATACTGTCCAGCACATAGTCTTGCTCAGTAAATACCTGTGAATAAGACTTAAAAGATATGAGGGAGGACATACATAGTGTGCATAGGTGGCAAAAGCAGATTCCAGGCAGAGGGGAGAGCAAGGTAAAATGCTGTAAAGAAGGAACGTGGCTGGCTTGTTTGAGGAAAGTTGGGAATGCTGGGTGGTTGAAGTTAAGTGAGCAAGGGATAGAGCCCTTGGTGTTGTCAACAGATTGTCGGCCATTTAAAGGACATTGGCTTTTACTCTGTGAAATAAAGGACCAGTGAATGGTTGTAAGCAGAGGAGGGCTATCATCTGACTTCCTCTGGCTGCTGTCCTACCAACTGACTGAAGGGGCAAAAGCAGGATTGGGGCGCCAGTTAGGAGACTGCTGTAGTAACCAAGGTGGGAGCCCAGGCACGTTGTTAGCCCTGGTGATGGGGACCAGTGGTCAGATATTCGTTGTGGTTTTGCAGGTAGAACTGGGGCCAGCTACATGGATATGACACAAGGTTCTTCACTCAGAAACGCCCATGCTTGGTTTCATGCTCTTGTGTCCATCTTGAAATTCTTCTTTTTTTTTTCTCCTCCAGACTTATTGAGACACAATTGATATACAGCACTGTGTAAGTTTAAGGTGTACAGTGTGGTGATTTGATACAGATATATAGTGTGAAATGATTACCGCAATAAGGATTCCTCTATAAACTCACATCATTAACTTTTTTGTGTGGTAAAATTTTTGAGATCTACTCCCTTAGCAACTTTCAAATATATAATACAGCGTTGTTAGCTATGGCCACCATAATGCATGTTAAAATTCTCAGAACTTACTCATCTTAAAACTGAAAGCTTATACTCTTTGATGCAACGTATGATTTGCAGATATTCTCTCCTAATCTGTATGTAGACTATATATATATATATATATATATATAAAGCTTTTTAGTTTCATATAATCCCATCTGTTGGTTTTTACTTTTCTGGCTTATGCTTTTGGGATCATATCCCAAAATTATTGCCCAAACCAGTGTTAAGTAGATTCTTCTTTATGTTTTCTTTTGGAGTTTTATAGTATCTGGTCTTATGTTTCAGTCTTCAAATTAATATTTGTGAGTGGTATAAGATAGGTGTCCAGTTTCATATTTCTGTATGTGGTTTTCCAGTTTTCCCAACAGAATTTGGTGAAGACACTATCATTTCCCCTTTCAAAATTGCATTAAAACGAATAAATATTTAGAAATAAACTTAACGAAGGAAATGAAAAATTTGTCCTTTGAAAACTACAAGACTTTGATCAAAAAAAATTGAAGAAGACAAAACAAGTGAAAAGATATACAGTACTGTGTTCTGTGATCAGAAGAATTATTGTTGTTAAAATGTCCATACTACCCAAAGACATCTATAGGTTCAATGCAATCTCTATCAGAATTCCAGCAGCATCTTTTACAGATATAGAGAAATCAATTTTAAAATTTTGTACGTGACCACAGGAGGCCGCAAATAACCAGAGCAATCCTGAGAAAGAAAAAATTGGGAGTCATCACACTTCCTGATTTAAAATTATATTACAGGGGCTTCCCTCATGGTGCAGTGGCTAGGAATCCGCCTGCCAATACAGGGGACACAATTTCAAGCCCTGGTCTGGGAGGATCCCACATACCACAGAGCAACTAAGCCAGTGCACCACAATTACTGAGGCTGTGCTCTAGACACCACGAACCACAACTACTTAACCCACGTGCCACAACTACTGAATCCCGCGTGCCTAGACCCCATGCTCTGCAACAAGAGAAACCACCACAATGAGAAGCCCGTACAGCACACGGAAGGGTAGTCCCCACTCGCTGAAACTAGAGAAAGCCCGCGCGCAACAAAGACCCAGCACAGCCAAAAATAAGTGAATAAGTAAATAAATTTATTTTAAACAAAAAGAAACAATATTACAATGCTGTAGTTACACGACACTATGATATTGGCA